GTTTTTAGAAAGCGGATCAATGAACTACCTATGAGATGGCAAAAAGCATAGATAACAATGGTAATAAATATATTGTATTAAAAAACATTCGCCTTTTGTTCTAATTTCATATGTAAGGACCTAATATAAACAATAACCCCAACGACAAACGCATGGGGCTATTTAGAATTTGCTAATTATAATGGAAAGAATAATTAATATATCTTTAGCATACTTATGTACTTTAGATAAATTATATAAAAAAATATTAATTATTCGTAGTTTTTAAAACTAAAATTCCCCTATTCCACAAATCCCTGCTGACAAATCCTCATTACTATTTTGACATGTTCTTTAATAACAACGATGGAATGTGGATTATGGTATTAATATTAGTGTTACCAAGTTGACTCATTTAATATTATCCACCTAAAAACTATGTTAGACTTATGGCTAGAGAGTTAGACGATCGCATTACAGGTATGATATACTTGTTTGTTGTAGAAACTTAACTTGTAGAAAATTATTTTTATTTTTAAGTAAATTTTGCAGTCTCAATGTTACTCTGAAAATAATTTATAAACATAGCATCGTATCTCTGAAACCATTAATCGCAGACATGCTGTTACTTCTACATTATTTCTCAGATATTAATGGACTATTTATTTATAAAATAAAAAAGTTGTGAACTAGCCTATTATGTTTTACGAGTATCGTGCTAGTTTTCATATAATTTGACTCTTAAATAATATCTCAGAAATATTAAATAAGAAGTGGGTAATACCGCGTTCAGGTAGGTTTTCAAAAAGTTGAATAAGTTTACATTTAAGATCCATACAAAACATATTTTTACGGTGTTTAGAATTACTATTTCAGATGGAGTAAGCTATGCATAGGTAGCCGTGGGCGGTGAGCGCAGGCGGCACGGCTGCAGGGGAAGCGAACGTTAACCCTTCTGCAGTTCATTCGCCGTCTGGCCTCACCCCAGACACCACCCCCAGCCGACGACCCTAGTGCACGCTTGCCATACTGCAACCCATCACTTTTTACCTACTGCCAACAAGGTCTAGCCAAGGTATATGCATACAGCATCTCAGTGTCATTATCCTAAACCTTCGCAAGAACTAAATCAAAATTCCCCTGTACTGGATGAAGTCAATGCAATGAGATAATTTTTAATCTTCATGTTATTCTATTTATTTTTAAGCTTTGTGCTTAAATTAAATAATTGAGTATACCTATGTTAATTTCTTCTTCATTTACAATAATGATAATATAAACTATTGTAAATCATATTTGCTAAAAGAAATAAAACTTTAAAATGATTTATTAAATTTTTAATTTAAAATTGAATTAGATAATGAAATAGACTCGTGAAGTCAAGATCTAGTAGTATGTGGTCTTTGATACCACAATAAACTAAACTAAATAATAAAAAATATCATAGTAACTAAATTATAGTCAACTTTTCTGATCAGTTGTATAACCTTTTCCTGTAGCGAGATTCTGCTAAAAATATAGCGACGAAGACAGCGCTGCCATAGCATTAGAGGAACCAGGGTCGGATTTAGGGGTGAGGGGGGGATTGCAAGTGTCTTAAAGAAAATAATGAGCTGTACAAAATGTCTTTTGAAATTCATACACACCTCTAATACTACTGCAGCGCAGTGGTTTTTTACAAAATACCTATTGTATGGATCGAGTGACTAATCTTTCTAAATAATAAACTTTTTGAAAAATTTATAGGGTTTGTTCAATATAGGTATAAAATAAATTCTTGTATTAAGTACAAAAACCTTTTAAATCATCAATCGTAATTTATACATCACAATTTTGTCAGTATATTCTACAAATTTTTCAAAAACCCGTGTGTACTGAAATTAGGTCAAACGGTCAAACCATGTAGAATAACAAACAGCTTCAAGTAATCTTAAATCATTGTCTATGAATTTCAAAAATATTCATTTATGTTTTTTGTAAAGCGGCCAAGTCCGCGTGAAATCGCGCATTCTCGCGGTTTCTTACCATTCATCCATAAGAAACGTAAAAAAATCACGTTTGTTGCTTTGGAGCCCATTGAATATTTTATTTTATTCTGTTTTTTACTTTCTGTTGTTATAGCGGCAACAAAAATACATCATCAATGAAAATTTCAACTATCTATCACGGTTCATGAGATCTAGTCTGCAGGCAAATTCTGCTAATGTTTACTTAATAATCGCATCTTAATGGAATCTCAACGACTTATATTTTGCCATTGTACTACCTACCCAAAGTCCAGTACTATTAAAAATCTATCACGGTTGATTTGTAAGGAAGATCTTGTATTAATAATATGGCACTTTTTAGATAGATAGTACAATGGCAATATGCGAGTCGTTGAGATTCTTAAACATTCGTAAACATTAGCTGAATTGGCCTGCTGGTAACAAACAGAGAGACCGGCAGACCGACGGAAAGCAGTCTTAGTATTAGGGTAACGTTTTACCCTTTGGGTACGGAACCCCTGTCCGGCTGTCACAGCCATTTTTTACTGCAAAACTACTTCTCAATTTGAATTGAAATGTCAAAGTTACTATCTCGTAAATAATAATTTTTGATTATTTTACATTAATATCACTCTATATTACAGTGTTGATGACACGTATAATCTATGAAACAAAAATTAAATAATGAAATACATAGGAATAATGAAAATTTTATCTCTTCGGCAGCAATAAAAAAAATATATGTCTAGGTCAAATAGTTTCGGAGATATTAAATTTCAGTTTTTGAAAAAAATGAGTGTTTACAACCCTGAGTCAGCTGTTTTTGGGACGTACTAAGGAAAAGTTTTCAATCGGTCATTGACTTCTTCATTTCTAAAAACGTAATAAACTAGTTTGTGATTTATATATAAGACCGCTTCCACGCAAATAATACCAGACAATCAATAAACAAGACAGTGGACATTTTCAGCATCGACTATCATCAAGATATCGGTAAGTAATTAAATTAAATTAATGTATTGTTATCTGCGCACAATCGCTATTGCGCATGCGCGTTATGGGGCTCTCAACACATAGAAATTAAAAAAAAATACTCCATTTTTACACCTTCTTTATTTTGAAATATTTGTCAAATAAAATGATGTTTGCATGTAACCTGACTTGAAGCTTTCGGCTATGTCGGTCATTTTGTGGCTCCCGGTATATCGTTTCACGAAGCCGATCTATCCATGTGTTTTTTGGATTTTAGGTAATTAAAAAAATGATTGTCAAAACCTTATGTAAATAAAGTGCATTTTATCTTAAATGTATTTTAAAAAATCAACCGATATTTGGATTTAAGTTGAAGAGAGACACTAATATGTCGGGGTCGTGGTCGAGGACATAAGGTAGTGAGTGGTGGAATATAGTCCTGAAGTTCTTCCCGTCAGAAGTCATCACACTCATTTTCAATGCCTGTTTTGATCTCTGCTACTTTCCACCCGCGTGGAAGGATGAAATTGTAATAGGCATCCCTAAACCAGGGAAACCTCCAACCACCGCCCCATCAGCCTCCTCAAGACCTTAAGGAAACTCTTGGAAAGGTGTATTCTCTCCCGCATAAGGGACCCTCTTCGACCTCGAACTGAATCTCATTCCCACCAATTCGGCTTCAGAGCCAAACATTCCTGTCCCCAACAGGTTCACCGCAATATGGAGTACATCTCCACCGGTTTCTTCCCTCGCAAACAAAAGACTGTAGCAGTCTTTTTCGATATTTCCAAAGCCTTAAATAAGATTTGGCACTCAGCACTCATCGTCAAGCTACACAGATTGAACCTATCCTTAAGATCGTTCGTCTTCCTTCCTAGACAAACGATATTCCCATTCCCCTTAAGGGAGCGGAACTCTCCCTCTTTGCGGATGATACGTCTCTGTATTACTGAGGCTTCAGCTTGCCCAAAATTCTTCCCAGGTCGTGGGTTTCGATATTTAACATTTTTTTTAAATAAAATTTATTTATTGTAAACAAAAAATTAAACAGGATAGGTAATAAGTTAAAAATCTTAAAAAAAAATTATACAGAAAAGTGTACGATACACAATAATGTACGATAATAGCCGCAGTAGTTAAAAAACTGAACCATATGAAAAGTTCACTTAATTTAAATGTTATTGTAGTCTTTTAGAAGGGGTCAAATAGCCTCTGTACTTGATAAAATTTCGCTTGGCTCGCTTTTCAGCAGGAAGTACTCTGTCCTGTTATATAGTACTAAGTCCATGATCATCAGTCAACAATCTATAGACTAGAAAAAAAAAGAACAAAATCAATGTTGCTGCACTTAAAAAATCGAAAATTAGGGAAAACCGTTGATGTTTGACGAATGATCCTTCTTTGGGAAATATATGATAGACATAAATAGCCTATGAGAAACAAACAAAATTTTGCAAATAGAAAATACAGAAAAAGATATGCTTGTCAAACTTTGAAAATATAAACATTCTAATAATTCAAATATAATCATATCAAGTTTCCAAAGACGTAGACGTTTTTACTTTTTCGTATTCATTAAGCAATAATTTTAAAATGATACCTATTACTGGAGATCTGTTAATTTAATAGTTCTCGTACATATTGGCACACCAAATTACCAAAAACAATTTTTATTTCTTTGATATACGGCTCATAGTGCCATAAACAATGAAAAATTTACCTCATAGTCCGATTTACCTATTAGCAATTTTACTGTACCTCATATGGTTCAGTTTTTTAACTACTGCGGCTATTATCGTATATGAACTATCAAACTAAATGTAAAATTCAACATTTATTCAAACATTCGGCAAAGTGAAAATTTGTGTATGAAGATTTGAAAACTGAATAGCAAACACGCTGACTACAACCATGATCACTAATAAATTTGTCTCTTATTTTGACGACGTTACAAAATAATCAAGTGCGTTTTAATTATGAATAAATTAATCATATTTTATTTGTTTGCTAATCTTTATAGGGAAATTCAAGAAACTGTATCTGGCAACCCCAAAGCGGACTGTCAAACGTAACACGACCAACAGTGGTTTTTCATGAAGTTTTCGTAATAAATTTGTTTATGTTTGTACTCAAGATTATATAAAATATGCCGAAGAATAAAGGAAAAGGTGGTAAAAATAGGAGGAGAGGAAAGAACGAAAATGAAACTGAAAAGCGTGAATTGGTCTTCAAAGAAGATGGTCAAGAATACGCCCAAGTCACAAAGATGCTCGGTAATGGCCGCTTGGAGGCCATGTGCTTTGATGGCATAAAACGTCTATGTCATATTCGAGGGAAACTCAGAAAAAAGGTTTGGATAAACCAAGGAGATATAATACTAATCGGTTTAAGAGATTATCAGGATGCTAAGGCGGACGTAATCCTAAAATACACACCTGACGAGGCAAGGAATCTTAAGACCTATGGAGAATTCCCTGAAACCGTTCGCATTAACGAGACGGTCGTTTATTCTGTAGATGGTCTAGATGAAGATATTGAATTTGGTGATGAGGTCAGCTCAGAAGATGAAGCAGATGCAGTTGACGCTATATAAAATCCTAGCTATATTTATAATACTTACAGTAAGTCTATGTAAATTATTGATAATTTGCTGTTTTGAATAAACATGACTTTGTAATTTAATAAATAAGTTCTCTAAATCTTTGCCATTATAGTGAAAACCCAATTCCATAGCTTCAGTGTTTCTAAAAAATTGTAAGTGTTTATTGCACATTTTAGTGTGTATCATTTGGATAACAATTATTTATTAGTCATTGTAAAATTTGTCAACAAATTGTATAACATTCCTTATGAGACCTGTCATTACCATTGAGCCATTCTAAATATTAAGGAATGTATAAAATTAAAATACATACAGTCCACAAAGCTTGAATTATTTTTAACAACAAATAAACCTTCTATCGATTGTTACTTCAATATATTATCATTACAAAATAAACTTAAAACTATTTTGATATATTTCATTGGATTATACTTTTTTCAAATTTATTTTCATTACTTCTAGATGAAAGGTATTTTTAATAAGAATATTCAGTCAATTAACTTTCTTCTATGGAAATTGATAATTATGCACAAATCATTCAATTACACATATAGTATAGTATAGCCGAGTTACATAAAATCACTTTCAAACAGGTAACTAAATAATACAAGACTAATTTAATGTTCCAAGTGAATATTAAAGATAAAACAATTTAAAAGTTGAGATAAAAAAATAACATCAATTGAAAGTGAAAAAATTGCTATTGCTGTATATTTCTTTATGCTAACTTATTGTAAAAATGTCAAATACAGTTTTTTTTTCTCTTTGTGTGATTATAATTAATACCTAATAATATTTGTTAGTCCTTCTATACCATTATCTTCTATATGTAATAAAATTTATTAGCTCTGTTTTACGTCATTTTATGATTTCAACAAAAATTCTTGTTTGTATTCTTTACACTTTCCCCCAACGGTTCACACAACGGCTAAACCTGCTTGGTCCCAAGAAACCAGGGACAACCAGAAAGCTATTATTAAATTAAACTACCTACTTTTGACCGAATATTGAAGCAAAAAGTTCCACATTGTTACTAAACATTATTTAATTCTTCATGCACAATAGATGTACACAGGTGGACTAATCGCCTTGGGCAGTCTCTCCCAGTTGACCTTAGAATATACAATAATAATCTATGCCTAAGAGTGCTGTGGGGAAACTGATGATGGAGTGCACAATTATTAAAAAAGAATAAGATTATGATTGTGCTATATGTTTCATAACTACTGTGTGGCAGTTAGACGTGTATAAAGCTTAACAGAAAGGAATGATTCGAATCTAAAGTTTGCTCCAAGTGGATCAGTACAGTATTGTGTATTATCTATGAGTGGCGCTCGCTGACACGAATGAACGAAAAAAATCAACCTATGTAGATTGTGGAAAGAATAGCCCTATGTAATTTATGGAATGAACTGAACGACTATTCGGAAAGATTTGGGCGATATCTAAGGATGAAATGATACCACCTAGGTTTCGATATCGATCGGCCACGAAGTATCGATATCTACACTGTATCGACTGAAAAGTGTCGATACTTACGAGGTATCGAATGAAAAGTATAGATGTCTAAGTGGTATCGAATGGTTTTAAAAGGCTTCACCGTTATCATATTTATGCCAATAGGAATACTCTGTTTATGGAAGAAAGAGAAGCCGGTCCAGGTTTAAAATTTGATCCATATAGTTATTAAAAAAATTGTTGGCAGTGCCATCTGTAGATAGATCTCTAACAACATAAAATTGTGCATAAAGCAATCCTTCGTCGTACAATAGGAACGCAGCACCTTTGAGACTTTTTCATGAGACAGACTCTTACCAAAGAGTAAACAGTCTTAAGCACGCGAGTTTTTTAGCTCTCACTGAGTAACCGATCAAGTACCGATACAAATACTTACTTAACGATACTACTTACTTGTCACACGATATTAAAGTATCGATGCCAAAAGTACTTAGTATTGAATAAGTACTTGTATTTACTCGTATCGGTGCATCTCTAGCGATTTCGGGTCGCGCCCTTAGCCAGCGACTATAGGTAATTGTTTATTTACTCCTTTTAATTACTTTTGTTTTGGAATTATATGTATATTATGATCAAAGTTTATAAATGCAAAAACCGTTATTGACATTAAATTAGTAAATGAGAACATTATGAAAATAGTAAAAATAGTTGTTTTTGTAGTGCAAATTGTTTGAAGAGGAATCGATTTGATTTAAAGTGTATTAACTTCTTAATATAAATAATAAAAAGAGTTATTTAGTTTTATCTTGTTACGAGAATCATTTTATTATATTTTTAAAACAAACAATCCCAATCAAAAGCCAATGTAGAGCATTAGGTATTTTTTTAAATATGTAACACGATTAAGTACTTGCTCTCTGCTCTTGAATCTATCTGAGAATCGATGATGCAAATGATACAAACTTTTAAAAAATCCTTTTTTTTGCAGTACTATGTCCAGTACCACATTTATCTCACAATCTTTAGCCTTTAAAATTACGAATGTGTTCCCACACAATGTTATTTAACGTAAAAATTATCTATGCGTACGAGTGCCGATTATCTATTATTGCTGTTTATAATAAGTATAATGCTATATTTTATTTTATCAAACAGCAGAACAGTGTATTAAGATTCAAATCAGTTTCATTTCGAACACACTAACTCAAACACTAAATGAAAATACACAGAGACTCCAAATCGCAGAACTGGAAATCATCAGTCTCATGGATACAGTGACTAATATTCAACATCAGTTGGCTGAACGAGACCCAGGACATCTTAAAAAACGTAATGGAAATATCAGGAGTGGAAGTGCAAGAGAACGAGAACTTGTGCCACAAAGTTCTGATAGTTTCGCAAAAAATGGGAGTTGAACAAGCTGAGTCAGATATTAACAATATAATAAGAGTAGGCTCTAAAGGACGTTCACCATCAACTAAAGAGAACACTCAGCGAAGCATTCCTCGTCCCATACTGGTTACACTGTTACGGAAGCGAAAGCGCGATGAAATTATTAAAGTTACAAAATCCCGGCGCACAATAACGACAGAAGGTATAGTAAATGGCCAAACGAACCCTATATTTTCTAATGAAAGACTATCTAAAAAGAATCGTAATTTATTTTGTCTTGCAAGGAAGCGTACAAAGGAACATGGATTTCGGTATTATTGGATTATAAATGGCAACATTTACGTAAGAAAAGCAAATGCCAAACCCCATATCATCTCGATCTCACCCGAGAAAAGTGAGATTTGAGTGTGCGGGTCCTCGCTGAAAAAAACTGGGCCAACAAAACCGATTCCGGAAAGTACCTACGTCAGCCTAGGGAACAGGCTGAAGTTCAGTTTTTTCAGAAGAGTTTTTCGTTTTCTTGCTTTCGACCTATTATTGTACTGTAAGATTTAATATTTACTACCAATGTTCATACATTCAAAATTTCTTCATATTACTTACACTTATCACAGAGAAATACACACTAAAGCAAACACTTCACTCACTTCCAAATAGTGCTACTCAGAGAGAGAGAAGAATGGTATCGGGAGTTGTTGCTGTTGATTGATTTCAGTCATCGTGAGCTAATAAATTTGGCTATAGAGTATAGATAGGTTTTCAAAAACTTTAATAAAAATTTTTTTAAGGATTATGGCTGACTTGGCAAGAGATCTCGAAGAAACATTGTCCAATGACTGTATCTCGCTTGATAGTATCGATGCATCCGATGGTTTATGTCGGAGGAGCATGATTTTAAGTCAATTACTTTGAACATTCGCAACGTGCAACATAATTTTGATGCATTTCTTGTAACGCTTAAGGGTGTGTTCCGATATACACTGCGACCACTGAACAGTATGACGTCAATTTAGTATACTGGAAGCCCGTTCCTTTATAGCTAGTTATACTGGTGACTTTTCAAACGGAACGCAGTCCAGTATACTGTTAATCCTATTTTTTGGCGCCATTTTCAAATTTGTTAATGCAAGGTGAATATAAATATAAAGATTCCCTCTTTTCAAAAGAAAATTGGAAAATTGTATAAAAAAATTATTTATCAATTAAATCCATCTTATAAATAAACGTAAGTATTTTTTTTTTGTTTATTTAGAAACTTATCATTTTCTGATTCTGTTTCGACTGATCACGTGATCAAAAGCACTGCGAGCACCTTACCTCGAAATCTCCAGTGCTCACAGTACAAATATGGCGGCAATTTATGACGTCATAAATTTCCCTAAGGTACTGTAGCAGTGTACTAGCACTCCATAACGGAACGGATTTTTCAGCAGTAAGACCACTGCGCAGTGCTCGCAGTGTATATCGGAACATACCCTAAAGGATCAAATTAAGAATTCGACTTAAAAGAATCACGTGGACGTAGCCACTGGCGGAAACTTAGTAATAAAAATAAAAGTCGTTATCGCTAGATCAAAAAAGTTCTATGGTTTTAATAGAAATCGCGTTATAACCAATGTTGTTATATATAAAAAGGTAGTTATAAATGGATAAAATATTAAACGTCATTGGTTAAATTACAAAAAATCATGAGAGACAATTTCAACAACTCAAATATTTGTCTAGTTTCTATAGACTTTTGCATTTTCAGGTTTTGTGCCACTTAACGAAATGCAACATTTTATATGCGTTTTCTAATAGAAAATTTTAAAAATACACAATAATGATTAAAGCTTGGATGATAAAAAAAATACTGTGTGTTGAAAGATCTGGTGCCACATAAGTATATGGAATGTGAAAGATTGATTGAAAGATAAAATGAATGAACTGATAGATGTTATTAATTCGTGATGCCCTGGATGCTATGCGTGAAACTGACTGAAATTTACACATAAAGTGGTCAGCTTAATTAAACACATCCGTGAGTCAGTTCAGCTTTGTATTTTGTAAAGTATTTACAATCTATGACAAAAAGTTAAGAAAACATTAATAAAAAAAATCCATAAACAATAAAAAATATATTTGTTTTTTCTAGATGTTGCCACCTTGTATCCGCCATGTTGAATTTTGTTGTGCCTCGAAAACATTGTGAGCACGTGGATTGTTGGACTAATTTTGGCGAAATTTGGCAGTAATACCGATATTTCCTTTTTTCAGATTGCTTTCATTTGTTCTCCTATAAGTGTGAAAGTTAATTTATTACAAATCAAAGTAAGTACTCTATCGGAATTTGCCGGCAACCAGCATCCATCGATACAATTGGTTCAAAGGGTTCAGCTAAATAGTAGGCACATAGGTCCTGATGCTGTTGCATTTATTTCTAATCAGATAATTATTTTATTTTATAGAATTATCTGATAATAATTGTCGCGTTATCGAAGTCATTTCGATGGGGTTAAAATTGCGTAACCTTTCATTTTGTAATCACATTGCTTACGTGTTGGCCGTGAAGGTTTCCACACCACACATTCGTGCGTGACCCTTGGTGATGTGTTACGTTTCTTTACCAAAATTAAAAAAAACACGTGTCAATGCGTTTTTGCAATATAACCAAAAATTATTTGAGTAATTTCGTATACGTGTCTACTTGTTATGTTGAGAAGTGATTGTAAACGGTGAATGGCTTACATTCGTATCGTGAACAATATTTGCCTCGAGCGGTGTTCGCAATTTTGTATCTATAATCTCAATGTGCGATTCCAATACGTTATTTAAATCAAGAATTCTGTCTGTTCAGTTTATTTAGTAATGTTATTTTTCATGCTGTTATTTTAATTTAAAATAATCCGCGTCTGTAAATACACGCCGCGAAACTAACCTATTTATAAGCTGATAATAAAATTCTTTGAATGATAAAAAGAAGTGAATCTGATATAATGGCATGTCTAACTGTAAGTAGGTCAATTGATTTGAATAAATTTTTTTCGCCTTCCTAGTAACATTTTTGTCATTATATAAAACATTGAAATAGAATGATTTTATCTCCAACAAAACTTTTAAATTGTCTTGAGACAAAACATTCAAACTTATATTTAAATAATTAATTTTAAAAGTTTGAAATAAAAAATAATTCAAAAATTAAATCTGTATTAATCTCTCTTTTATTGATAGCACTTTTATACTAGTTAGTGGTGATAAGATATATTCTCTGTTAGATTGCCTATTTTAAAGTTCTACATTGATATGATAACTTGTTTTCTGTTTAAATTATTTTAATAAAGAATATTCATATTTGTATTGAATTAATTATTATATTTTTTAGATTATTGACAAAAGTGGCTTATTACTATGGCACCTTGTCGACAATTACTTATGTGGTCGGTACCATCAATAGCTGTTTTGTTGGGAATATTTTGGTTCCGGAAAAAGAGAGAGTATGCCAAGTCTGACCCTGGTGGAAGAGAGAAAATAAAGAGCTTAAAAGAAGAACTAGCTGAAGCTTTATGTGCTGAAATTGAAGCCTCAAAAGGATCCCCACTTGGCAAAGCAGAACGTTCAATAATAAAATCTGCTCCAATCGACATTATTCCCAATGGAAGTAGCTCCCAGAGATCTTCACCATTGCACTTGACTGATGAAGAGGTTGATCTAGAGATAGAAAAAATTATTAGGAAGAAATCTCTTGAGAAGGAGAAGAAAATGTCTTATGGATGTAGTGCTCAGAGTTTTGTTTCAGCTAATGCTAATAATGTGGAGTTGTCATTCGTAGTAAAAGAAAATTCCGCATATCAGGTATCTCCATCTGAAACCGAAAGTACTTTCACTAAAAATGATGTTGATCTATGTTCCATTCAAACTAATGCAGATACTAATAATGGAAGCTCTAATAGTCTAGAGAATGTATTAGATTCAGAAATGTCTCAAAAGAATAGTACAAAATTTGATTTAGCAGCATCTGAAGTTAACACAATTGAAACCAGTACTGCAGAAGATACTGAAGAAATGACAATTAATAATAATGTTGATGAACCTTGTGATAGTAATGATGAAAACAGATTCTCAACAGCACAAACAAGACATATTTCAGAAAGAGACTCTGCTAATCATAGTCCAGTGGACCCAATGTTGGCAAGTCCATCGATGTGTCACTTTTCAGACAATCACAGTGAGGTAATTATTCTTTATAGACACTTCTTAGATATTATAATTGTTAGTTTAATGTTTATTTCAAGGGTGACACATTTTCAAATTAATATTTTACGATAGTGAAATTTAAATATTGTTTAAAAATTCATACAATTGTAATAATATAATTAATTTATTTTCAGGGTTCAAGTGATAGTGGAAAAGGGTGCTCAGAAGCTGCCAGTCCACCTCCAACTAACATGAATATGGTCCCCTCTGATACAGGGCTAAGAATACATCAATTTATTATACCACAGACCCTAGTTGGTCTCCTAATAGGAAAACATGGTTGTTTTGTTACACAAATCAAAGCTAAAACTGGTGCAAGTGTCTATGTGAGGAGGCATCCTGATTCTGTCAAGCTAAAAATATGTGCAGTTGAAGGTAATGTAAATAACTTGATTAATGTATCTGGTTGAAAATATTAACATTAAAAGGGGCCAAACAAAAAAGAAAACTATTAAATTAACCACCTAAAATAGGAATTGGAATGATTTCTGCCCTTGAAGAGTAAGATTCTTTCAGTATTCTCTGCAATGTCAATGTTTTACAACAACAGTTTTGCAATAGTTAAAATGTTGAATATTCATTTTGTGTGTTTGATCAATTGGCTCAAATTGAGATGTTTTGTTTGTTTTTGTAAATTTTATTTATAAACTTGATAGTATATAAATACAATAAAAAAATGCCTGCAAGAAAGAGGAAGTGACATTTTTATAAGTTTTTTAGATTGTAAGTGATGTATTTTATAAATTTTAGGAACTCAAAGTGAGATCGAAGCTGCATTAGACTTAATCAAAGAAAAGTTCCCTGAGAAAAGGTTTCCCAACTTCTCACTTCAGGAAATTAGTGCTGAACTATATCAAAGGCTGGCTCCTTTAGTACCAGAGTTCCTTCAAGTAAGTGTCTGTCTGTAATTATTGGAAATTAAGTTTTTTAGATATTGTAGCCGATCAATTAGTACAAAATTATAAAATGAATCATATGAACATTAATGCTGAATGCATCAGTTGCAGCTTGTGGAATCAGTGAACAATGATACAATAATGACGTGCTTGGTTAGCGCGGGTCACTTCTTCCTGCAGCAGCCATTGCATCCCACCTTCCCCTCACTACATGCACTGCACCGCCTCATGGCTGCTACATACCAGAACCCAGACGTGCCAGCACTCCCACGTCCTGTAAAAGGTACGTACATACCTACCCCTAGGAAATTAAGCATTTAACTGTTAATCTGTTAGGGTTAGTACAAATCTGATGGAAAGTTCGTCAAGCAGAGCAATAGCTTATATGTAAATCTTGTCAGTTCTGACTTTCCCTGAAGAAGTATGCAACAAATCTTCTGTCACATATACACTGACCCTTAGATTAGACATGTGTGTGCAGTAATATTTATTATTAATCATTAACTGTCCTGGTTCTAGTTTCATTGATACAATCTTATCTATTTTTCTGCACTTCCATCCCCTATGTCACCATTTGTCATTTTTATATTTAACTCTAAAAAGGTAGTTAATTCTAGAGTTTACAAAATTTGATAGTCTCCAATCCAAATAAAAAAAAGAAACAAATGTGAGAAATCTGATCTGAGCAAATCAAAAAATACTTAAACGCATAATTCTTAATCATACAAAAGTTAATCTCAAGAAAGGTTGAAAATCATTTTATTTTTAAATAATAGGTGTGAATCTCTGAATATCTTATACTTAAATTAAAAATATATCAATTTCATTTCAATAGTTTGAATGTGTAGACATTGAAATGTTGAATGAAGTATCCCAATAGATTATATTTCCTCCTTAAAGCTGTACATGTGATCTGTATATATGTAATAAGGCTTTTTGAATGTTATAGATGTTGTATCTTTATCGAAGGTATAGTAACATATTTTTTTTAATTTGATTCTTTACAGAAGGGTCAATATGTGCTGCGCCTACAGAAAACAACTGGTACCGTGCGCAAGTGATATCTACCTCGGAGGAGAATGACACATCTGTCGTGAAGCTGGTCGACTTTGGCGGGTATCTAACAGTTGACAACGACCAGCTCAAGCAGATCCGTTCAGATTTCATGACACTGCCCTTCCAGGCAACAGAAGCCCTTCTGGCCTTCGTGAAACCAGCAAACAATGGTTAATTCACTCACTTTTTCTTTGCACATGCGCTTCTATCATTTCACGCTTGCATATTGTTATGTTAATGGTTCTAATGTATATTTTATTTTTGATTACAAATATTTGTTTCTTCATTTCAATGTAAATTTCAAAATACTTATCATAAATGCTTAATACAATAATTCGAATTACTGCAGTCTTTTGTTGAAATTTGCACGCCTTAACATTATTCCATGTACACTATAGTGGTGAGTATCTGCTAATATTACTAATATATCAAAAAAATCAATGATAAACAATAATAATAACCTGCATGGCCTCAATCTTCTAAAATAAACTTGTATATCTTTGATTCATTTTATTCACGAATTTTAATTTTCAAGTCATTAATATGTTGTGTGGTTCTGTTAAGAATAAAATTTCAATTGTAACCAGTGAAAATTGATATTCAATTGTAACCTTTATTTTTACCAAGTCAAAAGGAATAAGATGTTATTTCGCGGTAAAATCAGCCTTTGCTACTTAACTCGCACACCAAAATCAAAAAACAAAGAAACTAATATGCTTTGCTTTAATAATATGTATGTATATGTGATATGTTGATTATGTTATCTAGAACCGGAGTGGAGTGGTGAGGCGCTCCGCATCATGGCCGGTCTCACCGCTGGGCAGTTGCTGCACGCTCAGGTGGCCGGCTACGACGAGGCCGGCCTCCCCCTCGTACACCTATACCTCACACTAAGTCCACAGGTACCTGACATTCGTTATCTATATAATATATTAATGATAAAGCCTTTATTACTGATTTGTTATTTACAATTTACACAGAAATTCGCACATCATTCAGTAGTGTGTCCTTCTGACACATAGGCCTCCTCTAACTTTTTCCATTCTTTGTTTCTGGCTGTTCTTATCCATAGAGTCCCCGCTGTCAATGCTGTCCCAGCATTATCTATATAATGTTATAGAGGTGTAATATTATTATGTACCAGGACATGGAGTGAATGAGTTAAGTATACTGACCAACTTTTACTATGGGTGCAACACTGAATTCACGAAAAAATTATCAATTGTTTCATACTGTTGGCGATTACACCTTATATGTATAGCATATATATAAATCAATTCCTGTTTGTTTGTCTTACTAAAACTCGAGAATTACTGTGGCTTAGTCAGCTTTAGCTAATTTTGGTGTTGAAATGTTTCAGTCCAGGGAAGGTTAAAATGGTGTGAGGTAACATGAATTACACTGGGTCATCTAGTGATGTTATAAAGCTGAAAAGTATGTTTGATTAGTTGAACGCGCTAACTTCAGGAATTGTAACTGTAATTGTTACCGCCTTCCGTGATAGGTACAGAGAGCTTAATGAATATATAGCACGACATGACATACATTAATTTAACGCCAAATTAAGTTGCATTATGGCACTCTGAAACAACGCAGATATTGCAGCACCTATCTAGACAATATAGAGAAAAATTGTTACATTCTTCCAACTGAGAGTAGAATCTAGGACCTCAGTAAAGAAAGCAGCGTGCTTGCCACTCGGCTATGAAATAATCTGCGCCACAATACACGCTTTTGTTCCCTTGACATTCATAATTCTTGTCGTATATGGTCACCGTTTTTAATACATCTGTGATCACGTGATCACTTTAATCGTGAAAGGTGTTTTGGCCTTCAGTTTTTACATTCCTCAACTTTCACATAGTTTAGTATATTGTACGTCACCCGCGTATATTACAGCTGTCACCTACGTATAGATGTAGCTTCCCGAAGGTGAAAAAAATTTCATGATCGGATAAATATTTCTGAATGTGACCCACTAAAAAAAATAGAGACATAAACTTTACCTCTTTATAATATGAATATACATCATTGTCCATAAATATTCATAACACTACATAGGTATATCTTCTGAAGAATTGAATTACCTCTAAAATATAGAGTATAAGTTAAAGCTACATTTATTTAGAGACTTCAACATTTACGGTGTGTTTAGAAAGAATTTATTTTATTTTTGGTATATGTGTTTTTTATTGTTAACAGTTATTTATATAACTTTGATCAGTTTCTGTATAGATACTGGCAAAGGTCGTCAATCAGAACTCGTTATATTTCCGGCTGCCGTCCAGCCGACCTCGACATATAAAGATCTCAGACCGACCTTGTATAAAATGCGCAGAATAAATAAATTAAATTTGAGGTCGCACAAAGTGTCAGCTTTTGTGTGCCGAGTGTGAATTTAAACTATATATTTATATTCCTTATTAAATTGTCCATTATTTGGCTTTCATAATCTTAGGTTATTTGGTTTTAAAACTGGTTAGTTCAAAATATTCATTCAACCTCTTGACCGTCGTGTGCAATATCGTATCCAGCATTAATAAAATTTGTTTACGGATTAAATATCTTTTATATTTTTTATATTTTACTTTTAGTAAAAAAAAACTACCTTAAAAATTTTTGCAAATTACTACTTAAATATCTTTTATATTTTACTTTTAGTAAAAAAAAACTACCTTAAAAATTTTCGCAAATTACTACTTGAATATAGTTTTCACAGAAGGTTTTACGATTCAGTAGATGGAAGTAAAACAATATTTGTTAATAGTGATTCACTAGTTGACTGACTTGAGATTGATATGCCAAATATTTCCATCATCAAAAAAAAAAAACAGTTGCTATATAATAAGTTTTCATCAACCCTCTAATAGGATTGTTCTACAATTGAAAATACAGGTTTCTGTTATATGTTCGGAAAATATGAACCATTTTAACCTATAAATATTTTATTTTATTACACTAATTTGGATAATGTAATGTTTTGAAAACTTGAAAATAGTACGGAAGATATTATATACATTTGAAATTAACACCCGATTTCTGAATTGATATTGGATGTTGAGCACGTCTCAAACCATGCTTAAGCCATTTTAAACGTCAATCAAACAGGTTTTCGTTACTGATTTATAATTTCCTTAATGATCAGTTGATAGCAATTTGATAAAACTAGGACTTTTTGCCATATGAACGTACAAAACTTAAGTTATTGAGAATAATCAATTGAGATTTTGTGCTTTTTCAATTCAGAAGCCGTCCGTCAATGAATAACATAACTTTCATTATGACAACTATAAACATAAACGCACAATTAACAAAGATATTACCCAGATTTCGCTACCGTAGCAACACGTGACGTCACTCCGTGACTTGAATATGTAGGGAACATTTTCGGCCGATTAGCAGCATACTATAAAGATAGCACCATATCTCCGAAATTATTAATTGCAGATATGCTGTACCTTTTACATTAATTCTTATATATTAATGTACTATTTATTTATAAAATAAACAAGTAGTGAACTAGCCTATTATTGGTTTCAAACGTGTTGGTGTTGTTAACGGTTTGTATAATATTGTTGCAGCAAGTAATATTCCTGAACCGAGAGCTAGTGGAGCGCGGCCTCGCAGAGTGGGACGTCCCCGCAGACTCGTGAGTGCCGCGGCCACTACATCGACGCTATTACCTTATTGACTAGTTTTACGGGATTGCATTTCTATTGACGCATAATATGTAAATAATTTGGATTTCACTAAGGTGACTGAATGCTCTGGTGAAACTTCGAGAGTAGTCGCTCACTCGCGTTTAGTTTGTATGAGTTGTCATTTGTAAGCCCTTAAATTAATAAATGTATTATTTCGGTTTCTCATTTCAATTTTGATGTGCGTACATTGAAATTATAGCTATCTTATTTGACTCATTTATGTATAAGTAGTAAATTGGAACGTTAATAGGAATACGTACCATGGTACATGCTTTTACAGCGAAATTTTAGTTTTATAGCTCCTATTCGTTTATAACTTACTATTTGATACTCGTTTTTGTCTAAGCTCCCACAACAGGAACGTTTGAATTACAATACGCTTATCATTATGATGGGATTATATAGTTAGATTTCGTACATTACACTGAAAGTGGTTGTATTTTTAAGTTACTTATTGAGCTCTGGTAGTCTCAATGGTAAATTAATGGTATACTTATAGATTTTAAATAGATTCAGGATGCGCTCATTATATTGTATTGCTATGTGCATTTAACCGTTTTACCCGGCTCTAATGAAATGTAAAATGGTATTTGAGTTTATAAATTCAAACATCAATTTATTCACTAACTTGGTCTTGCTATTGTGCCAAATGTATCAGACGTTAATATTTATAATCTTATTTCGCATTATTACGATATTGAAATTATTGTACATGTTGTACAAGTAAAGGCGTTGTTTGCCTATAAAAATGTGCCTTTATTAGAGGATTTCCTTTTCGTAGTTTCAAAATCCTCCACAATTATGTAAAATATTTTTTGTCACAAAATACGTTAAGTAATCATCACTAAAATCTATGCTCTTATTTACATCGTTGTTTACATACATTGATTGTAACAAAAGTGTTTCACTTATGACAACTTAGTTGGAGAGCAACACCGGTGATTATTTTAACGATGTGAATGACTGAAACTGTATGATAGTAATAATATTGTAAAATATTGGTGTATTAAAGTACAATAAGACATGTGGTTTTGAGTAAAAGATAAATTGTTCGGTATGATTTTCCATTTTGTTTATTAAGTTATTCAACAAGGTGGCTACATAATTGCATTTTACTGTATCCTGTTCTATAAATTTCCTTCTTTATTAAGTTTTTTCGTTACTGCTGCACATTTCCGATTCAAACAATATATGATCTATATTTTTAATATAATATATGATCTGCTAAATATATAGCCACCTGATTGAATGTTTATCATTGTCGGTCGAGTACTTCAATATATTTTCTTTCAGATGGCACATAATTTTATGTAAGCAGTACAATCGCATCTGCAATCGGGCTTTATGGTAAAGCTTTGAAAGAATATTATATTATGCTAATGAGCACTTTAATTATCCTGACTTATAGTTTTATAGTGTACATACTCGAGTGTGTAAGTAGATTTTAAAAGCAATATTCAGTGTTCTTTTAGTAAATTCAGTATTTGTATTGTTGAGAAATTAAGTGTTTGTTCTTAGTGATTTTTTTTTGTATGCGTATTGTGTAGTGAACTTGGCAAGCTCATGGGGAAGCTTAGTGTGACGTTTCGTCGTAGTTATTTTTACAACGTTGAGTCGCATTATAGAATTTATGATGTATCAAACGAAAATTATTTTTAAATTTCACAAGTTGGAATAGTTTGGTATGTTTTGGATAAATCAGTTAGTGTACTGATTAATTAGTTGGCTCACCGTTTGCATTTTGTTGACGTCCCTATTGTAAATAAACTAATATATTTGCGGTTAAATCAATAAATTATCGTTTAAAATTCATTGCTTTTATTTTATATTCATCATCGTCATTCTTTTAAAGTCTATGATTAATGACTGGGTTGGCTACAAAACCTTTTTACTAGATTTATGTTCTGCTCCGACACTCGTAGCGACTATGGATTCGAGAGATCTTGAGAAAATGTCTTAAGTAAATATTTTAACCAATAGACGAATGTTCGAATTAAGTAAGAACTTTTTAAATGTAATAAGAATACATAATAGTACTTCATTTAAATTATTACTTATTTGGTAAAAATTTCTGCTAAGTCATGACATTTTATCAAGTAATAACATCTCTCTACGACGGTAAAAATACTGTATACGCGTCAAAGATTTTATTAATTTATTATTAAAATTATATAGTTTTTCTTCACCGTGAAATGAGATACTTTAATGTAGTTTATTTCACTTGTGCCTTAAAGTACTTGTAGAATGTAAAAAGTTTTGATATTTTACGAATGCGTAATCGGATTAATTTTTAAAGTGCAAGACAGGCTGGCAGGTAAATTATCTCTACCCAGCATCTCTTTGACTGACTGATAATATATAGACGAGTTGGGAAATTATGACCTGCTATATTATTCTGTTAATAATCACTCGCGAACGCAAAGCTTTGACATCATTGAACTTTTATGCAATGACGTCACCGCGTTCGACGAGCTCGGGGCTGTTTTATCGCAAGTATTTTATATTTTAATTTTGTAACGAACTAATAAATAAGGGATTAGAGATAGAACAAGAATAGGATGACGACTGCGTAAAAAAAATTCTATTCAGTCAGTCAGTCAGATAATAGAAAAATATTAGATGCGTATTTTTTTTGCTTCGATTTAAACAAAAAATGGTTTAGATCAGGGGGCCAATTCTACTAAATAAATTTTGTTTAAATTGAATCGAAACCGAACGAAACTACAGTTTTTAATGGTTTTTATATTCTACTAAGTGACATATGATACAATTCCAGCTAAAAAAAAAACTGGTATTGTATCGTATGTCACTTTGTAGAATTATTAGTAGAATTGCCCCCCAGGCGTGGACAAATTGCGACCGCGCGGCGAATCCAGTCCGCGTTAGAATTTTGTCTGGCCCCTGAAGCATTGTATATATTATTAAAAACACAAATATTAGTTTTTGTCTAACATAAATGGTGCATAAAATATTAAGCAATACTTGTACACATTATCAGGGCCGGTGGGAGCCAAAATTTTCTCCCGGACAACTCTTCTCCCGGCTCTTTTCAGTGCTGCCTTATGATAATTGAACAATTACAGTATTCATAATAGTCGCACAATTTTATTAGTTTTTGATATATATACTTAATAAATAAGTATTTTGATTAAAAAATGTTGGCTTTAAAAGTCATTGTATTGTATTCATTCATCAGAATTGTAATAATTATGGATCAAAATCAAATGTGTAACGCCTGTGTGTAATATGAAGCGAGGGACTATAAGATGACCAGGAAAGTTTTATGGAATTCGTTATAAGTACAGAGACCTAGCTGTAATGCTGCCAGATTGACGTCGACCCAGTAGCATCACAGATTCATTTATCTACGAAACTACGCAACTCGGCTACGTATTTGTTTGTTAAATAAAGGCCTTGATTTAAAAATCAAAGAGGGTGGCGCTGCGTATTTATCTTATAAAGTGGTTGTGAAAAATGACGGACAGACAACCACCAGAATTCGTAAGGATTCCATTTTGGTCCATTACCCAACCCTAAAGAGGACTGCACACTTGAGTAGCATCAACTTGCACCTTTTATCTTATATTTTTTTTCTAAACACCACGGTTAATTTTGTTTTAATTTGAATTCACATTTTCGTTAAATAAAACAAGTATTCTAAGCAAAATTTATATTGAAGTTATATATGTGTATAAAAGTAGATTTCTTTGTTCTCTTACATCTATGTCCCAGTCCACTTATGACATTATAATAATTAATTATAATTGTATATACCTACCAACAAACAATAAAACTGATATTACACTCAACAGCAACTTGAATTTCTAAATACCATTCTCATATCATTTCAAGAATAATATTAAATAACACGTCAATAATACGATAATTTAAATCAATCATATAGTTTCTACATACAAACAATCATCAAGATTTTATATCTGAATATAATTTTACATCTCAATGTAATTACCAAAACAGAAAGTCGTAAGATTACACGTTTCTCATTAGCAAGAAAAATCTGATATAAGATATTACACACATTGAATATTACCTCAAATAATAATATTCTTATCACAAGTATAACTCATATAATAAATGGTGTTTTGATAGTGCATATAATCCGATGTATAGTTTTCTTTGCACAAATAAAATTGTTGTTGAAAATTTACAGTAAAAATAATATACGAATTTTGCATAAATAATATTTGCTTATCACAATATAAAGTTTATAGGGTTTTTATGATTATGAGCAAAATCTTAATATTTTATTTACTAAGAACACTTATTTTGTTTCTAAGAAAATTAATTTGTGCGATTTGTTGTCTGTTAAAACATTAATATTTTTGTTGCCACATGTTGTTGGCCAATAGTCATTTATAAATGCAGTGTCTTCTTAACACTGTTTACAAAATCTACCTAAACATACAGGCTTTAATATATTGAACGAGTAAATTGTCTAGTCACAAATAATTAAACTATTGTACACCTATCAAAACAACCTAGCTCCAGACGTCTGATGAATATTTCTTCATAGAATCCAATTTCTTGAGGAATTGTAGAGCCTCTGCTTCAGTTCGACCACCTTTTTCTTGGACAGCTTTGAGGACAATGTTCCTTACATCAACAGCCATGTTTTTAGCATCTCTGAAAGAAACAATACCTAATATTAGAGAAATAAATTGTATTTTTTTTCATGAAATAAAGAATAACTATTGACATATTATTCATGTATATTATATTTCCTAATGGAACTGTGTTTTCTAGCCTTATTTTGCTTCTAGATGCTCTAATCATGATGACAATACATAATATACTGATTTGTTTGACGATTAGTTGGTTGTACTTGAATTGAGATAAGGCAGTATATAAACAATGACTATGTAGAAACATAGTTCTAAAGAAATTTGCTTTTAAACTATTATTAACGGTTTATACACTATGAACACGATAATAATTAACCTTCGATATCTTTAATGTGATGAGTCGAATAGATATGAAAAATGACATAAACAAATTGTTTAATTTTCTCACATCACAAGACAACATAGGTCAACATAATACTTATTATACCCACCTATGCTGTACTCTTGAGACTTGGTTCTGAAATACTAATGTACTCACCCACAAACATAGAAGTGTCCATTGCGATTTCCAATGACGTCCCAAATTTTATCAATATTTTTCTCCAATAGATGGGTCACATAAACTTTATGCTCTTGATCTCTCGAGAATGCCACATTTAGATTGACATCGCCGTTTTTTTCATATTTCTCCAACTCCTGTAAAATAAAAAAATAAGCTTAATATAAGTTCATATAAAAATCATAATCAAAATACCTATTTCAAACTTTATAATGTTGATAGGTCTAGATCAACTTACGTCTCGATAAATATAGTCTTGCTCACGATGTCTGCATCCGAAATATAGAATATTCTCGCCGACTTCTTTGCCATTAGCACGAGCATATGCGCGCTCCTGCAGAAACCCGCGGAAAGGAGCGAGACCAGTGCCTGGACCGACCATGATGATAGGTGTCTGTGTTTGAATAGGTAACCTGTAAAAATGTCATGATATATCAAGTGGAATGGGTTTGATTCATCAATTTTATGGTGAAATAAGCTCACTTATGTTTTGAAATTACTAGCAGTGTTCTTAAAAGTCTCCATTGATTGAAATATAAATACCTGAATTGAGATTTCCGAATATAAACTGGCACTCGTGGAAGTGGTTTGCCTGGTATTGGTTTGTGCTGAGCCAGCCACGTGGTCGCCACGCCTTTATTGACGCGCCCTGTTGATGTCTTATATTGCACTACAACAGCCGTTATGTGCACAGTTTCAGGATGTAACTAAAAAAAAAGAAAGAGCTTAACAAATAAAATAAAACGAGCCCAGCAGTAAATGATAGTAAAAAACTGCATCATACCTTAGGACTTGATGAGATAGAATAAAATCTGGGTTGCAAACGGGGCAACAGCTCACAAAGATGATCGAGAGGTGGCTTACATGATTTAATATCTTCAAGTATATGGACAATATTTCTGCAGGCATCAACTACAAATGAATGATAGAGTGCTTTGCCTTCTTGAGAATTTGTTGACATTAGAAGCAGCTTTTTTTTATCCTAGAAAATATTGATGGAACAAAGTAAATAACATCAATGAATAAAACATTGTGAAATAACATTAATGATATAGAAAATATTAATCTTTTATCAAAATGTAATTTTAAAATGCAGCTAATCTTTAGATTTGCCATTTCAAATAAACAAACATCAAATTTATAGATCTCAGTGATTTATATTACTTACTTCCTCATCTGTGCAATACTCTGCCAGTTCCCTTAGTATGTGAGTGCGAGGCAATGCAGTAATTTCTAAATAATGTGATAAAGCAGTTCTGTAGGAGGTAGGACAAGGGAAGGGATGCTTCTTGCTGCTCTCTAGATCTGTATTGATTAATGAAAAGATTTCATCCATGTTAGCTTCAGTTAAGGCACCAAGACGATCTACTAGGTCTGTGTCATTGATAGGATATATAGCCACATGGTCACCTGAAAAAAATGAACCATTGTAGAATGCATAATGTATGGCATTGCAATAATCACAACATCATTTTGAATATTGTTACTATATCATGGATTGATATTCAGCTTACCTGCTTCATATCGCATCTTAGAATCAGAAATGTCTAACTCTACATGTAAACAAGATCTATCACCACCTTTATGTAGTTCTCTATTGACTGTAATTTGAGCTAGGAATGGATTTTTAGCATCATAAGGCCTAAAATACAAACAACATTTAATAAAAACCAATCAATGCTCAGCATCTTTTTTGTTATCGGAAATTAAGGCAAATAATCTATAGTAGTAATGATAACTCACGGTCTTTGTACTTGGTATGTGTGAAGTCTAGCAATTTCTCCTGTGAAAACATTTTCTGGAGGTATTTCTCCATTTGAATGGCTCACAAGACGGAATTGACGTGTCAGCTCTTCCTCACCAGTACTTTCAATATTGAATTTCTCACACACTGCAGGCCAGAATCTGTCCTTCCAAGTGATGAAGTCATCTTCAATACTGAAATAAAACAGTGATTTTATTTGTACACAAGACACTACTTTTTTATGTTATCTTTTAATTTACACAAAATATATAATCTTTCCAGTATTTTTAAAACAATCTGATATAAACAAAGTATGTTCTTTGAATAGGTCCACCAAAACCCAAATAAACTAAAATATTTATTTTTTAATGCGAAAGTGGGAATATGAAAAACAGGTTAAATATAGATCTGCTAGACATCTTTCTAGAACAAGTGAAAAATATTAGTAAATTTTATATAATAATAATAACTTTTCATGGGAATGCTACCTTAATTAAAGAATTAGGTAAGTATTAAAAGAACTAAATTTGTGTGTTAATATATGATTTTGGTTAGGTCTATTTCATGTAATATGATCATACTTTGCATCATCATCTCCAAGTCCTAATTCATACACCCTAGTAGCTCCAAGTTCCTCTAGTCGTTTGTCTAAATATATCGCCACAGCATTGTAATGTTCATATGTCTTGTTACCCAAACCAAATACCTATAAACAAACAAAAAAATAATAATGAAATAAAACAAATAAAATTAAATAACTGAAATATTTACCTAATTTCTAACACTCAATACTACTAAACAACATAATGTACAAAATGAGTTAAATTACCATATAACGAATTTTCTGCAATGGTGATATAATTCTTTTCATATAATTCCATTTGCATAGATATCTTGGGTAAAATCTTAGAATAGCGTTCATGTCAGAGTTTGTAAAAATAATTCATTAGTATTTTTCTTCATAACCTACTCCTTGATATTGAATTGAGGTTATAATGAATTTAGTTCATCATAAAGAAAATTACTCACTGTACTTTGAATCTCTATTTAAGAAATCACTAATTTCGTTGATTTTTATTGATTGATCTTTAGTAATTAACCTTTGAATATTGATTTTATTCCAACTCGACTCTCGACTCGACTTTGTAGCGACATGTCATGATGACATGTGACAGTGACAATGACAAGCAAGATTTTATAGAGATGTGCTTAGTCACACTGACTGTAATACGTAGCAGGTACTGATTGAATACAGGTTCCGAGTACTACGACAATTTTCGAATTCCTTACTACAATTTTTTAAGTTTCAAAAACTTTTGTGAAATTAAGAAAGCATGTAAATATTGTTTCCATAGAACTTTTCTAGTAAGACATATTAATATAATACACCATGATTACCAATGAATAATTATATGGTCAAATGACTGATTATACACCAATTATTTACATTCTATTCCATCGCTCACACCTGATATGTGAAATATTAAGTTTTATCCAAAGCAAAAAAAATGTAATCATAATTTCACTAATAATAAAATATCTAATGTCTCTCTCTCATTTCATTATTACTTTGGTTATGTTTTAAAAATGCCCTTTCTGTTTGTTCCCACGTTATTAGAAAGTAAGTTATTATTTTATTTTATAATTTATACCAACATATTTACATATAAATTGATTATTTTCTTATAATAATAATAATATAATCTTTATTGCACACACACAGACAGGAAAACAACACGAAATTACACGGTATAACAATACAGAATACACAGATGGCGGCCTTATTCCTAAACAGCAATCTCTTCCAGGCACCCTATGGAGGAAAATAATAAAACAAATTGAAAATATGGGTATTGGATCAGAGGGGTGTGGTAAGATATATCTTTACATATTAAATAAGAAAGTATATGTAAATAGCATTAGTATAGAGAAAGGAAATAGCTTTCAACTCGATCGCCGAAGGAATTTAGTGAGCGAGTGTTCCTAATATCCTCCGGGAGAGAATTCACAACATACACAGAAAAGAATAGGAGAACAAATCGGGAGTATGACGCGAGATGTCTAAAGTGAGGTTGGATGAGGATCGCAAGGAATTCAGTGACGAAGAAGATCGAAAAGAGAAACATTGTATGAGATAATGTGTAGAGGAGAGTAGAAGTATAGAAGATAACTAAAGTAACTTTTAAGTGTGTAAGTCCCTGCGCCGGCGAATAGGGAGCCTAGATAATCTGGAACGGAAATTTGACACATGGTCTAATTTATGAAGGTTGAAAACGAATCGGATACAAATATTCAGTAGACGCTCCCATTTATTGAAGTTCCTTCTATAGATCCGTATAACAAACAACAACGTAGTTTATGATCGATAACAATAACGAATGCGCTAAAGAGACCTTAGTTCTAGTAGGCAAGAAGTTTCGAATACCGTCTTTCTAACGGCCCTCACCTGCAGTTTCCAAGAGAGGTTTTCATCGAAGATGACGCCAAGGTTTCTAACAATGGAAAATTACAATGCCGCTGAAGGTAGTAACTCTAGAAATGTAATGAGAAATGCCAATTAGAATTACTTGAGTTTTAGAGGGGTTCACGGTGATACCGTTTGAATCACTCCAATTACTAATGCGAGACAGGTCAGAGTTTATTACTGAGACTGCCTCTGTTAAGTGCAAAATGGCACTTAAGTATAAATTTGAAGGTTATCGGCATAGAGGTGATAAGAACAGGAAAGTATTTCAGTTACGGAATTTATAAATAAAGATAAGAGAAGAGGAGATAAGGCACCACCCTGAGGAACACCGGCTTTGATACCAAACCACGTAGAGATGGACTCAACGGTGCGGATCCTCTGCCGGCGTCTTAGCAGGTAACTTCGAAACCAGGCAGTTGCAGCTGGAGATATGTTGAGAGAAGCCATCACACAGAGAAAGATGTCAAAATCAGCCATATTGAAGGCATTAATTCTAGCAACGTCTAAAATCTAAAATCTAGCAACGTCGACAACGTAAGCTGACGATTTTCCATTCTTTGACGAATTTCATCAGTAATCTTTACCAATGCAGTATTATTGCTATGACCAGAACGAAAGCCGGATTGAAATGGATTAAGAAGGTGGTTTGAAGTTTGAGTTTTTCAAGGACTTTGGAGAGAAATAGAGATATGAATATGGGACGGTATTCAGAAAACTAGGATGAGTTTGAATTTTTCGTGTGAGGAATTAGGTTTGCATCTTTCCAAGATGAAGGAAAAGCTCCAGATGAGATTGAAGTATTCAGAATCTTAGTTATTATCGGGAACAGGATAAGAATTGCGGGTGTGATCATTTTGCGACTGCACTGGAACTAATCGACAAGATAGTTCTCTCAACATCACAGTCCGCAAATTGACAAAGGAGAATAAAGAGTTGGAAGACTTGAAATACGATGTAATGTTTCAGCCTTAAGATTGCCGTCAATAGGGGTAGAAGTAGAAAAATAGCGATTCAATTTGTTAATACTAGATATTAACAAATTGAATCGCTATTTTTCTAAGATAGATATCAGAAATTTTACTGTGGGATTTGCCAACTCCAAGAGATTTTAGGAATTTCCACACTTTCTCAGAGTCTTGATTATTCACAGATTCATGAATATAGCATCATTGGGCATCGGGGATTCTAGCGCGATAATATTTAAGCTCATTCTCATTTGAAGTGTCAGCCCTAAATTTCGCCATGGCCCTATTCCTCCTTCGACTCAATCCCTTATCTCTTCCGTTAATCAAGGAGCCGGCTAGCATTTGATTTTAATAGGCCGTACTAGAGCATCTATATCGTGAAGATCTATCAGGTACTTATTAAACAGTTGGACTGGTGAAGTTCTGGTGAAGGTTTTTATGATATTTGCAGCATTTAACAGATCGTATTTCAAGTTCCATTAATAACGAGGTAGAAATTCTTATAACAGACTACAAAAACGTTTTTTTTTGGTCGCTTTTATTTTAACTTCAAGTAGTGTTCATTTTTTTTTTTTAGTTGGAGGCGAGTTTCAGTCTAATTAAAACGATTGAATTGGAATTTTGCATCGGGACATTTGATTTAAATCAGTTGTTATACGTCTACACTCTTGGCCTTCCCCAACATTTTCAACTTTCTCCCATTTCCGGGTTGTATATTTTCGTCACTTCAACATATCTGACCCAACAAACCAATACTCTTGTTAACTTTAAACTAACGCGCTATATATCAGGTCTCTCATGCTTTCGTAAAGAGTACAGTCTGTAAGCGGTATTCCGCATATTTTTATTGATCTCTTGATTGCATTTCTTTTACTTACTTACACTCTGACAGACCCAACTTTCATTAATAAACGTGCATTAAAATCAGTACCACGTTTGCAAACAGCTAGAAGCGTTTTCAGTTCACTCTTTTGCTGCGTAGAAGTTTTGCCAAAGGCCAAGGCTCCAATAACACTCCGACTTCTTTTACAAACTTTTATTTAATGTGCCGTATTAGTTAGTTAGTGTGGATCCGTGTATATAGTGAAGCTGAAATTTGATGCAATGTTAATATGAAATGGAGTCGAAAGGTAGCCATAGCTACCTATTTAACTAACTAAACGAAGCAAAGTTATCAAAATTGGGCTTGAATGATTTGTCTTGATAAGGACTTTGATCTGTGATAATATCCAGATTTCGGTAATGGAAATGTAGAGCAACATCCTAATTCCTTTAGTTTTAAGTCTAGCTATAGGATACGACAACTTAGCTATGTCTTAGCGCTATTTTATTTCATCTTACAACTTTGACATGTACTTTAATAACATAAAATTGAATAATAAAGAATGATGAATATTGAATTAGATGGCAATGTTTCCTCGAAATACGTATCCTACCAGCCAATAGCATAGACGCAGTCACCTCGCCCGCCACTTTCCCCATTGCTAAATTTGGTATAGATTCTTAATCTTTATTTTATAATTTCTTTATTTTAATTATAAATCTTTATTTTATTAACAAAATATTCATCATGCGATATCTATAGATCTAGAAGTAATCTATGGATTGACATAAAAACCTCAGGTATGTATATCATACAATTCCCCATTGTACCTAACTAAAATTCGCAAATCAGATGGATATATTACAACAAAGGCGTTATATGCTTAAATCAAACAACCAACGGTTAATAAATAAATCATTTCCACGTGTAAAAATAACGCAAATATTCACAGCAAATCACAAAGCCAAACTAGGATGGCAAGCTATCACATCAGTTTGCCATGAATCATACCAAAACCCTAAAAATCTGCCATTTCTATCTAAAAAGTTAAAATTTACTGAACGACAATCTCGAATTGATGTCGTAGTTTTAAGGTACCAAGAGTTGGAACAGCTTTCTGTCAATATCAAATTGTTTAAAAGTTTTGTCAGTTTGTGATATATTTGTTTTTTTATCTTTATTTTTTATTTTATACTAGCTGTAACATATAGCTGTACACAAAGAATAGTCCAGTTGCTCTTCTTTCCATTTTAGTACGTAGTAGAATCAAACACGCCTTGCAAAAATACAAATAAATGTTTTCTTTGAAATGGTAGTTCTTTTATTGAAATAGTTTAATAATAACGCTGTCATTTTACTTTGATCTTGATATTTGACAAGGGTGCTTAAAAACAGCCTGATGCATTGCTTGTGTAAGATTCTACGCCTGATCCTCACAGCAACTTGACGGTCAGCTTGTTCTTTCTTTCTCAATTCAGCATTTTCATAGACGTCTAATTAAATTTTTCCAACGGATATTCAACCATCTCTTCAATTTATAGCTATCGAACAAATATAGATTCGTCCACTCACAATTTTTTTCTCGCCCAATTTATAATTTAAGTTTGACACTTCGAATGAGAAAGTGTTTAAAAAAAAAACAAAAGCACTAAAAAAGCACCATCATCAAATGGCGACTCTAGCAAAAGTTGATTTTTGCAGGAAACGAATGGACCAAAGACGGTCATTTCCGTTCCTTTTAACTAACATATCAAAAAACTAAAATTTGATAAATTCGAAACTTAGATATCAATACAAATACGAAAAAGAACAAATAGAATATGAGTTGTTTATTGAGTTTTGAAAACTAATTTACTTTTAAACTTGAAAGAAAACCGGAAAGATTATGGAAAAATCAAGAACGTACCGTAGTGACATCTAGTTTGATTTCGGGAACTAGTGTTTTTTTTTTATACTTCCTCATTGTAGTTGCTATTTTAGATAAAACTGTTTTCTACCATTAGTAGCTCAATTCAAGTATTTATTATAAATAGGCCCGTCTTAAGCACAACCCGGGTGCAAATAGTGCTCTGCCTTATTAGATTATAGTTACCCCCTATATAATAGCTGATTTACCCCTAACTTAGAAACTACTGCTCTTGACCTACGTCGTGTATAAGATGTTGTCTAATATTTATTATTTAATTCACAAAATCCACTTTGTCTCAAATTTTTTTTACCGTACCGCCATCTAGTGACATTTATTTTAGTATATATTTATTAGTATATTCTCATTAATGCTATTTCACTAAATAGACATGACATGACACCCATACACTACCTATAAGCACAAAAATACCATACCTATCAACCGCGAAGTACTAATATTGAACCTAGCACAAAATGGACAAACAAGTCATTACCATCACACACACACACACACATCGCAACTACAATAAAGACAAAAAAGACAAGAATCTGTAATTTAAACCTAACAACTTCCCTAGTTGTATTATTAAAGTATAATTTAAAGTTGATCCACGATTTCAGTTATTTTGAGTAATGGACCATAATTTCGATAAATTGATGTTTATACATATCAGTAACTATAACCGAATACAAACCAAAGAAATTGGTCAATTTCACTATGTGTGATATGATTCCACATAGTGAAATTGACCAATTTCTTTGAATCGTTCGTTATTCTAATCTAAAATACTAGCCAAACAACAATCTCAACTTGGCTAGACCGGTAATCAAGCTGAAGACCGCTTTATAGCAGTGTACTATGACTCTTATACTCTTCAATTTCATCGGTCATCGACATTAGGCTTTAAACAGTAGTAAGCTTATACTTCTAATAGTCAAGGTGTTAATAATTTTTATCGGTTATAAAATATCAGAAAAATGAATATTGCCAAGTAGGGGCAGCAATACAATGGAACAAAAAATATTTTTTTCTCAACATTTTTTCACACGTTCTCACCGCAAAGTTTGCAGCAAATACAAATAATAATAATCTGATACTTTTAAACATAACACATGTTATTTTTTCTCTAAACCTTTACATTAGATGGCTAAAATGCATAAAATATAGCGTTTTTGCTTTCCTTAAACCTAAAATTTTTATAAATCACCAAGATTAACACAACAATACACATTTTAAATGTGATTATATAACTTGTTTTGTAGCCTATTTCAAATGATTATAAAGAAAATGTCTTGGTCCCCTCGACCTGTGCCTCGACGGATATTCAATTATATATTGGCATATGGCAGGTAGGTATATCAATTGCTATACAGTCCTGGCCGGGCTTTTTTCTCGAAAATAGAAAAATTGAGATTTAAAATAGTATTTGTATATCGGTCGAGTGAGATGGACGTAGCAATATTTAAAGCGATAAACGATATTTACATATTAAAAAGTTTTCACTGGTACCCAAAATTGTTGCTGCTTTTAATGTATACGTGTTATTTATGAGATGATTAATACTTTACCTATATGAATTATATACGTGAATTGTGTGTGGTCCTAATATTCTGTTGCTATTTCCAGGGCTAACGGTCCTAGTAGTGGTATTTTAATTTAATCAAAGCTTCGAAGTAAGTATAATTGTTTCATGAACCATAAAGATTGCAGTATGTTCAAAATGCCGATTCGGCATTTTTATGAACGATGTTGCCAAAGTAATCACTAACACATAGCAGCATATAAGTTTGTTTAAAAAATAAAACTTCTTCAATAAATGTTGCCAGTGTATTAAGGATGTGTCGTCTACCTTGAGACTAATTCTAGCAAACACGACTAACGTATAATGATGTATTGTAATTATTACGAGGCGGAAGTTGAACTGATTGTCGTCGAACTTTAGAGTTAACTTACGCCATATTGATCGATATAGAAAACACGATCCTAATATATTTTCAATGCAACTGTATCTAGCTATTATTACCAGAATGCTACTTTAACGTAAACATAAAGTACATAGTACTAGAACCAATCGAGATTTTTACGCAAGAAAATACCAATGATATCTGATGATCAGTTAATGTCACTGGTGTCAACATTACTATTATATCTGTGTCTATATCTTTATGCCAGATTCCATTACTATTATGACGTCAAGGAATCTTACCGCGTAGTTGAGACCATTCAAATCCGGTTCTCCATTCTTCAGCCATTCGTAAAACTCCATAGCGTTGTCCGTGGGGTCACCCTCGCCGTACGTAGCCATACAGAACACCGCAAGAGAGTTGGGTATTTCCTGAAGTTTTGTCAGCTCTTCCTATAATAAAAAAAAAAACATGTACATAAGTAATAATATATTACACTGATCACAGTGGCGGGATTGACGGTACGGTGACGACAGCTATGCCAGCCTCTTTAGATAAGTTTTTATCTAATTTTTTATGACTTTCGTCATTTCATATTTATCTAAATTCTTAAAATAATAGTTGTTATCGAATGATTAAAACATTGATAGCTAAAACATGAATGTATTATAAATAGAAAAATGTAAGTATTTATCAGACTGTCTGTACCTATACGTTTATCATAATCTAAAATCTAGGTGGTATTGAACCATTAACAAATACTTAAATGAAAAAAACGATATATATCCTTGTAAGTATTAATATTTTATCAAAGTCGGATCAGTTTTGGTATCATATAAAAAATACTGGAAGAATTATATTGTCTAAATAATATTGACGACGTCTCGTTATCTCAACACCAAAATAAAATAAAACCTACTTTTAAAAAAATCGAACTATATTTTTTTTATAATAACTACAAAGGCAACTAGCAAATTAAAAAAAAAACATTTGTAGTTGGCTGGTTAAATCATGGCCATCAAATCATCCCCAGAAAATTCAAATAAAGTTACAAATGATTGTAGTTTGCCGAAAGTTTAGGTACTGCGGCACAAATATCAAACACGACAGTTTACGTCTGACAGGATCTCGTGTAACAGGACACTGATGATTGAAGGACAAGAGTAATGTTTCGATTTTTTTTTTCGAATTTCCGCTAATTTTGTATTAAACGTGACAATTGATAAATTTATATTTATTCTATCGGTTATGATATTCAATACTGAATTTACGTCCGTAATCCTGATACCTACATACCTTCTTTTTTTATAGATTACATCTACTATTTATAAAAAAAAACTGTAAATCACGGATAACAGCAATAATTATTAAGATAGTGACAATTCTTTTGTCTCTAAACTTTATAATAAAGTAATACAATTTCCTTCTGGACGATCTCGTGCCACCGTAAAAATCATTTATGCCCTTATGCTGAAATAAGCATAAGAATGAGCCCGTTATAAATAATAAAAAATAACATTCCATATTTGAATTTGTTTAAATTCCGCACTCACATGTCATTTAAGTAATATAACTATTTCTGTATACTATCTTTACTGGATTAAAAACGCAGTTACAAAATTAAAATTATATTAAGTCTGGTTTCTGCGACAGTCAGTGACACAAAGATGCGCTACGTATTTGTTATATCTTATCACTAGAAATACAAGTTAGCTATAATGTACCTATTGGACAGGTTTCTCATTGAATACGTCAGTCTTTATAATTTAATACATGAGTTGTGTGCGTCATCGTGCAGTTTAAATTTATTATTCAAAAAATACTTATTAAAAAAACTTATTGTAAGGTATCCGATTATATAACAGATTAGAATGCTTGGACTTAGGTTCGTCCAGCAACTAGATAGGATAAAATTATAAAAAAAATATAAATACATTCATGATGTATTGATCTGGTAATGACATAATTTTTATAAATGTCATTACTTCCATTAGAGTTGGTGTGTTTCTTGCTCGTTCTTCTTATCATATCAGTCAAAAACGAGTGGTCTGATTATATAACAGATAAGAATGCTTTGGACTTAAGTTGGTCCAGCAACTGGATAGGTGATTTCTTCTTAACTCATTTTATCAAAATAATTATCTTGTTGCCATTATTATTAAATTATTATGTTATCATTATAAGATCATAGTTTTTTTTCTCTATTTATAATGTATTGATCTGGCAATGATATGTTTTTTATAAATGTCATTACTCCCATTAGAGCTGGCGAGTGTCTTGCTCGTTCTTCTTATCAGTCAAAAACGAGTGGTATGGAAAAAATGTCGGACGATTCAAAAGTACTTTTAAGAAGTCTATTTGAATAAAGATGATTTTGACTTTCCCAATTTTGTGCTAAGATTAAGTGGTTTTCTCGGGTTGGCAACATTTTTCATTACTACTCCACTCTTATTAATGATAGCGTGTTGTTATATAGCCTATAGCCTTTCTCAATAAATACTCTATTAAACATAAAATATTTTTTCAAGTGAATCCGATAGTTACTGAGATTAGCTCGTTCATCCAAGGAACAAACTCTTCAGCTTTATAATATTAGTATAGATAAATAAGTACCTATACTAATATTATAAAGAGAAAAGATTTGATTGTTTGTTTGTTTGCATCGAATAGGCTCCTAAATTACTAGTAGTGTGCTGGTAGTGCAATGTAGTGGACTGATTTTTAAAATTCTTTCACCTTCGGATCGGTAGCAACATCGTACGGGGTTGATATACCTAGACTATAATTCACGCGTGCAACAAGCAAGCAGCTACTAGATTATAATTATGTGGCTATAATTCACGCGTGCAACAAGCAAACAGCTAATAGATTATATTTCTAAGTTTAATTTTGTAATTTGATTTCAAAATATGAAAGTGTCGCAGCTGATAACATCGTCCTAGTTTGACGTGAACTTATGTATCGTAACTTGTATGCACCGAATAATATTACGCAATACAACACTGACAGTGATATCAATATGGTTTACGTAATAATTTTATGATTGTAATGAATGATAAGAATGCTGCATACCTTAAAGTCCTAGTCCAAAAAACAACAACGGTACGAATTTAAGGCTGTACAAATGTGTTAGTCTATATGGGCTTCTAAATACAATTTTAAGTGTATGATATATTTGTTCACATATTTCTATAGCGACATGGACATCGGATCGCAATGTTTTTAATGTTTAATTGCTTGGCTCTCAACTTAGGGAATCGATTTTCATGAAAACAGATTTTTTAAGATATGAACTACTTAACAGTCCTTCACAAAAGTGAAGAATAATTCACGAAACTTCCATTTAATTAATGCTAATAAACTTCACAAAACCTCCACTCCGCTTTAAAGTTTCATAATTATTTTTTTATATTTTTTGTTGTATTGAAAAATAAATGTATTGGTGTGACACTAATAGTTTGTAGAGGAACCAATTGTATAAATTATTCAAGGATACACAAGATTGTGTAGCTGATTAGAGTACCATTCAGTGGTAATAAAATAAACAAACGTCATCTTTATAAACCGTCATAAGCAGACGTTATGTGTAAACGGTCACAACCACATATAACGTAACCAAAGAAATTTGAATAGTTAAATATTTTTTAACGTATCAATAACGTAAATAGTAAATATTCATTCTTAAATAGTGCCGAATGAAGCCAGAGCGGGGCCCGTAGCAAATCCCCCCCCCCCCTCTCCAACTCTCGAAACAGAAAGTCATCCTTTGTATTTCGATTAACACATCACAACTAATATGTGACTTGAGTTTTATTTGTCAGTTTATGTCAGTCTGTGGTTTATGTTCATATTTAAAAATATGCATTATTTATTTTTTTGCATAATTTAACACGGACTTGACAAATTTATTAGTTGGCTCCGAATCGAATAGGGCGGGGCCCTTAAACACGCGGGGCCCGTAGCAATTACTACTTTTGCTACGTGGCTAACCCGGCCCTGTTATTAAAGATCTTTGTAAGTTATAAGTAGAGAAATCAATTGAGTTATTTTGTGATTGAAAGAGAAGAAGGTTCATAATAAATGTTACTTTTTTAATTATTTACTTCGTAAACAATTATAAAATGGGTTTAATGATTGTTTTATTTATTATAAAACAATCATAATATATAATGCATAATATAGGAAAATCATGTAGATCCTCGAGTCGTTTTTCTGTAGATCTCAACATTTTGTAAGCTTACATGTAAGTAAATATAATGTAAGCTTACCTTAAAAAGTATTTAACATTTGAGGCACATATTTCCAAAAATAAAAAGAAGTTTCTTGAATTTGTCGTTAGGATTTCTATTCAATTTTTAAATTCCATAAAATTTTATTTTTTAATTAGGCATGAGACACCAAAATAAATGTATATACGAGGGTCAAACTGAAAGTTCTTAGAAAATCAAAAACTGATTACATTAGCCAGTTATTAGTTTTATTATATCTTTTCAAAATATTGTCCATTCACGTCAATACACCGCTGCATGCGATGGAAACACTGGGAAAAGCACTTTGCCCACTCGTCCTTAGCACGGAAAAACTTTTTAGTTTACAATACTACAAAACGTGTAGGTAAAGAGAAATACTGTAAAGATAACTATAATTTTGTACACGGAAACAGAAATATTGTTAACATAAGTTGACATTTTGTAAGCAATACAATTACAGTTCTGTTATTTCTGATATTGTAATCAGCTCTGAAAGTATATTAAACATTACAAGAAAAATTGTATTTTAAAAATCTACAACACGAGTTATGATGAGTACTGAAAATACGTTTGTAATTACAATACAATTAGTATAGAGAACAATCAGTGATGTTGCATTTGCAAAACTTTGCGTGGCTAGGCGGCAATCGGGATGCGGGGGGTGAGGGGCAGTGAACTTATTGCATCATTTTTCATTCTTTTAGTCGCGCGCGCAGTGAAGTGACAGTGATAGGATCAAAGATTACAATATTATACTGGAAATAATCGCCCGCCGATCGCCACCATTACGCTTCCTAATCGTGTTTTATTGTTTTAAAATTGAAATGGAAGAAGATGTCAGAAACTTACTTATTGCTTGGGTTGTCAGCGGTTATGTGGATGTGTTTTCTGGTAAGTTTTATTTATTTCATATGTACTCATCAGAAATGATATACGCCTGACTTTTTAGATTACATACATAGGTACTTATAATCACGCTCATATATCGGGGCAAGCAGAGCCCTACGGTGTAATTCACATAAGCGGCCACGTCTGACGAGGGGGCTAGATGTTTTTATTGTGTTACTGAGTAGTGATATGACAAGTGCTCATCAGCCCGTCGCCTCAATAGAGTACTTTAAAATGTCCTTTCCCTTCAGCCTGATACTCTGATTTTGGATCTTGCACGGGAATGATGGCAGCTGTTTTTCTTTTTCTCCCAG